AATGAAAGTAAACTATAAACAAAGTAAACTCTACTTCGATTTAACGGACTGTATTATGAGCTGAAAGCCTTAGTTAAATACCTGCATTAAGATTAGTAGCAGGCGAGACAATCTTAATTAATCTTAATTAATTTTCAAGCCTTAGATAAATTTCAACAATCTAACAATATACCGAAATAAAGAAGCTACTAAAGAGCTGAGCAAAGAATCAACGACATTATCTCAAGCAATCCCAATAATACGTCTAAGTCTTAAATCTTGCCTCTGATACATTGGCTGTTTATTTGGGGAGAAGATGTCCATTTTCCAAAGCTGAAAAAACTCGCCCAAAGTATTTTTCACTGAAACTATGTACAGTCGCCTCCAAAAGGCTTTTTTCAACGACTGGGAACATTCAGACTGAAAAAAAAATCGTTTTGTAAATAATTTTTTGCCTGTTGTAAATTTTAATAATTAGAACAATATAAAATCATCAAATAAATTAGTTTTTTTATTACCATAGCGCATATTCGTACTCGCCGAATATTAGATTGATATTTGTATTCGTATTCGTAAAATTTGTATTCGTTGTATCACTACTTTGAACATAGGTATATTTCTGAACAGTGTAATAATACGAAGCAGATCTCTAAAACGCTATTCGATGTTCGATTTTTATAAATACTCGTATAGTTATATAAATAAACAAGTTATGTAAACGATCCATAAAATTTATTTACCATACATACACGAATGACATTTTACAAAGCAATGATAATCTGAATCCAATATTTGACGTCACTGAATGTCATTACTGACATACATGATTTAAAATGAATAAAAATAACATATTTATTGTAACAAAACTAATTAATAATCATAATGATTGTAAACAAGTAACAATAAACGATAAATAAACAACTTAATGCTAAATGTACACAAGACAAGGCAAGAATCAATTTTGGTAAATTACATTAAAATATTGCAATAAAAACAATAACAAATAGAAATCTAAAATCTAAAAACTGATATGTCTTATTCTTTGTTATTCTTGATTGATTAAATTTAATATATACTTATAACACAAAAATACAAAGGAATCACTTTTAAAAGGAATGTGCTAAGATAGTCATTCAGTAACACTTAAACACTGAATTAGTAGTTAGAAAATCTTTTATAACACAACGAAATAATATATTATTTTTAAAAATAATTTAATGAGAATCGTAACTATAATACCTTATTATTGCTTGTAGTAGTATTAACCTTAATTTAACTTATATATAACATTAATAAATATAATTAACATATCAATAGCTGCATTTAATTTGAAATAAGATAAAAATTAAACTAAATTAAAAATGTAATAAAACAATACTGGAGACTTCGCTTTACTAGAATTCATTATAGACAACATTCTAAGACAAAAAGGAAATTCGCGTGATATTGAGGTATGTTCCTCGGCCTTAGAACAAACATTGCGTTGACGAGAGTCCCGCTATTGCATTGCAATACTCTGTCTTCATTTATATCAAACCGTTTTGTCAGAGAACGCTAATAAACAGCCAGTCAGCTTTTATTTCTTAAACTCCATTCTCATTATAATACTGATTTCATTATATTTTTTATCACAATGAGTCAAAGCTATATCACTCGAGAATATTGTAGCTTCCTACGAGGGCGGGTCAAAATGTTTGCGAATGGGAGGGGTTAGAGAGGAGAGGGGGGGGGGTTTGTAATTAATATTTTTTTTAAATAAATATCTAGTTTCAGCCAGATCGGTTCATTAAACCTTTGCGATATCATAGGATAAACAAGACTATCGAGAAGTAAACACTTACTATGGAGAAAGTTGAGTTTCGTGTCTTGATTAAATTTATATGTATATATATATATATATATATATATATATATATATATATATATATATATATATATATATATATATATATATATAATTTAATCATTCACAGATGACGAAGAAGTGAAGTCGGCACTTTCTGCAATAGAAAAACATTTTTTTTTTCGAAATTATAATTAATTTGTTTAAACGGTCTAAAAAGGGTTAGCGGAGAATATATCGAAAAGGAAAATTAATTTCATCTTTTGTTCTCTTCCCGAAAAACTTTTTGACCCCTTCCCCGTATCAGTGAAAGGTTTTCAGAATCGCATCAGCAGTTTCAGAGATTTCCTTCTACAAACCAACTTAGACACTTAAAAATAACTTAACTTGTCTATAATATTAACATAATATAACATAATGCAACATAAAGGGAAATCGAAAATGTATGTTTATGTTGTTATGAGAGGTGTCGGGAATCTGAATTACTCACGCACAAAAATCTTTAACTGTGCAAGCACGTCGTTCTTAGTAAAGAAGCGGCGGAAAAAATTAATGTAGGAAAAATACTTATGAAAAAATCAAGTTTTCATTTCCTTACTTAAAAAAAAATTTACCAAATTACGGCGTTACTTTGTTTAGACTATATTAATATTACTTATCTGATGACAAGATAACCCGGACAGACTACAAGATTAGTATACCGTAAAATGACCACATTCAAAGTGAGTACAACATTATTGGTAAAGATGGGCCGAATATTCGTTTTATATTCGGTATTCGGCATATTCGGCAGCTTTACCGAATATTCGTATTCGGCCGAATATTCGGCTAAATCATCGAACATTCGTTAAAGTAGTACTCCAAGTGTCCACTGTATTGAAATGTACGAATTGAGTAATGCCATGTCTTTCATAATTTTACTGTTGAAAGTATTATGGTAGTATAGTAATGGGTAAAATCTACTTATATAGTGTTATGTTTTTGAGGCACCTAGGATTTATTTCCAAATATAGCAAATAAAAAGCTTTATAATTTTTTTTTGGAATCATACAAAAAACATTACATTAGTACACATTTCACTTTACACTGGTCGATAGTTTCTCTAAAATAGTCCAAAAAGTACTATACTGTATACTCTTGCCACTCATTTTTATCATATAATTATCAATTTTTATTAAGAATAACACAACGAAATCCTTTTTTTTTTTTTTTTGAAAAATAGTTAACAAATAAGCAATTGTTCAGTACGAGATGATGCAATAACATGTCAGGTGTTGCGGGGGAGCTCGGCGCTAATCCTGCGCGCTTTATAGTAACAAGTTTCGGCATAAATTGGTTAGGTACCGAGGTGATCCTGTCGAATAATGTTCGTCCGAATATTCGGTACGGTTAAAGTTTAACCGAATGTTCGGCCGAATATTCGTGTTCGGTGAAATCCATATTCGGCTTATCTCTAATTATTGGAATGTATTTAATAACTTAAGACGATCATTTCCGTGACTAAACGTTTAATGAAATGTAAATTCATGGTTATTTCGACGTACATAAGAAATCTGGGGTTTGTTTGTGAAAATCTTTAAAAAGAAGAAATCATGAACGATTCTAAAATGCAACCGGCAACTAAACTACTGAGCAATAGACGGTAGATAAGGATCTAGATGTTCACCTTAAAATTGAAAATCTAATGCAATCAATGGCGTAGCGGGGGAACTATTAGGAGCGGTATTTTAAGTAAGCAAAAATAGCTCCACGCTTCAATTTTTAAATCATTCCAGGAAAAAATCTTAAAAATCGAAAAAAGAGTTACTGAATATTTTTGATTAAAATATGACAGACATTGTAGCATTGAATGTTTTTAAAATAAAGATAATCTGCACACAAAATAAACTTGCCTAGGGATGAGAGAAGTAAATACATCCTATTATTTATTTTTAATTTTAAATGACTTCAAAAATGAGAAGGTATCAATTCGACTGTATTTTTATGTGTTACCTCATTACTTTTTTCTAGTTGTACGAATTTTGATGATTTATATAAATTTGATCAAGATCTGACCATTAGTTTTTAAGTACGTACTTATTTGAATGCGACTACATTGATGATGTTCTTATTTTATTTTTATTGAAGTCATTAAAAATGTTTGATTTATGACTTGTATAATATTTTACGATTTTATATTTATTAAAATACTTGCAAAAAATATGGGGGAATGTTTTGCTCTAGCAGCATCGGCAGCTACCCGTGTTACTTTTTTTCCACTGCAGTCAGTAGCGTAACAAGGGTTGCCATATATTCCGCTCCATAACCAGCTCAGAAATATTCGGCGCCTATTTCCAGAAATGGGATAATCTTACAATCAAACTAAATTAGATATATTTGATGGTAAGTTGGGATTTTCTGAAAATTGTTTGGTGGTGAACCACAAGTAACTATCGGACCACCACAGGACCACCAACAATTGATATGCAGTTAATGCGGAACTTCTTTTTCTTTTTTTCTTTATTAGCCCGTAATAATCTGCTGCTGGACATTGGCCTCTACCACCATAAGCAGGATTCACCTTAATCATCACGTTTGGTAGGCAGATTGACGATAGCTGTACCAGACGTTTGCACCTTTGAAGCTGCTCCTCATCACCATTCTAGGTATTTTACGGCTGTCGTAAAACTATGTTCTAGCTATTCCCGTATTCGCCTCCTACGAGATCCACGTTGTTATTAAAATGGGTTGATGGGTTCTCTTAAACCGCTAACACACGGTACATACACACTACTTAAATAAAGATATCTGATTATAACATCTGCAAGGTATGAAAAAAAGGTTTTCGTTAAGTTTTGCCAATGCTTGTATGTTTAAACCATCTATGACGACATTACCACTTAACATCAGGTGGACTGTATGCTCTATGCTCATTTGTTTCTTTTACTTCTATTAAAAAAAATTGCGTAAAGTCACCATCTGTAATACTAATCAACTAACAATGAATTACAGATAACGCAAGATTAACGTTTAGATTTTCTATGACCTAAATTACAATAGTTTTATTAAGACTTTAATATCTAACACGGTTAGAGCCAGCCATCTTGTTTTTTAATATCTTGATGTGTAGTGTTTCAGTTTGGATCTTCGTTGTGTTGAATCGGCCCCGCTCCGCAGGTCGCTCAGGACGCCAGTGCCCTCATTCGGTGTCTAACATCTGGAACAAGCAAGTTTACTTTTTAATTTTTTAACATAACAATGATCAGGGGATTTAAGGCATCCTGAGCGACCTGGAAGATGGAATTGAAGGTAACTTGCAACTACTAACAAAAATACTAATTGTAATACTTAATAAATAAAGTTAGAAACTTAAAAGTATTTTAGTGGTATTTCATTGCAAGTTACTCACTTACTAGACGTGTTGAAGTCAAAGAAACTTATTTTACTTTTTGAGTAATAGGTTCTTTTTGAAGTTTAAATTAATCTTGACACGCGTAGATACTATTCATGTCCTTTGCCTTCAACACGTCGAGAGTTGTATTAAAATATTTAAAATAAATTGGTTTAACAAAAAAAGCAAGAAAATATAGTTCATTCTTCATTACACGCATGAAAAAGATGAGAATTATTGACTATTTAGATGTAGAAATCGGTTACAAATATTTCACAACCAGCAGCGTTCCCTTGACTGACAGTCTTTTCGTTTTTTTATTTAAAACCGTTACCAACTCTGTAGGAGTTTTTCCAGTGTCATGGTAGTGTGTTATAAGTTTTAAAAACATTCCGACGCGGAAAAATTGGAACGTAATTGCTCGACAAGAAAACAACACATTATAAAAATGCGTTACATAATGTGTTTAACACATGCTCAGTGGTGTAGTTGTGTCGTGAGGAATACTTGCATGTCTATGGAATAAATTATTTCGAAGATTCAACGTGTTATGTTTATATTATATGCCCGAGAACTCGCACTAATTGCACCATAATCCCCTCCGGAAAGAGAGGAGGCCTGTGCCCAACAGTGGGACGTACATAGGCTGTAACCAAATGGCCTATACTTTGATGGAAATTCAATTTCAGCGAAAGTCAATAAAAAAAGAAATTAAACAAATCACAGTAAGACGTTCTGAATATCTCAAATTTTTCGAATCGCCAATCAATTCTACAATCCGCATCGCCACAGTCGAACATTTGACCACCGCGTACCATGGTTTTAAATAGAACAAGATCTTAGGAGTACAATACATTGATCGTGTTTTATTCTACTGTGTTGTTTGCCGCGTACTCACGACGTAAGAGACGATAGACTTTCCTTCACCATCTCGTGCGTGTCGTAAGAAGTGACAAAGGGAAATGCAACCAGATATATGGTATGTTCCGAAATACAACCCAGTACACTGGCCAATACAAATGACGTCATAAATCGACGCCAATATGGCGTGGTTATTAGTATGGTGGTGATTCGTTGCATCGAATATGGTGAAAGACGGCGTCAATTAATGACGTCATTTTCATTCGCCAGTATACTGGAAACATTTTGGAATATACCCATAGGCAGCAGCATCTCTCAAAATATTATAAACAACTTCAGTTGACGCCTCGTTCACCAAGTCTGGCAATAATGGCAAATATGGAGGATTGTATCTCAACTATGGACATGGATAGACTGTGAGGAATAAATTAATGATTTGTTTTTACCTTTTAAATATTTGTATTCAATGAAGGTTTAAATCCTGAACCTTATCTTATTAATTATGTCCACATCACAGTTTGAAAAAGAAGCTTATCAAACAATAAAAACTTCAATAAGGCAATAAATTATTGAAGTCATTGTTACTTGAAATAGAAATGATTGCGTTGACGTCACAGACTACTGACGAATCGAAAGGGTATGAGAAAGTCATAAAAATATATTTCTGTTGTGTACTTAAAGTACAACCATAAAGCCACAATCGCATGACAACGCATTTGTAATTTTTTTTTGCTTAGAAATTTTTGTAACTCTTATGGACGCCACACACGGTCAGTTTAACTAATCTGGAATGGATCTGGATGATTGATAATTATAAATATATCAATATCGGAGTTTTATAGGTATATAGGTTTACTTATCGATATATCGAAAATCCAATAATTAAAAAAATATCAACAGTTTAAGTTTAGAACTGATCAATTTGAATGATCAGTTTAACTGACCGAGTATGGCGACCATTAAATATCCTGAAGGAGTTATAAATTTTTTAAATTGTGATACCTTTTGTAACCGATAGAACCATGCTGTATCCTTATTACAGCTACAGCAGGAATGGTTCGATAATAAGGCATTCCATTTTAGTCATTAGAATATCAATTAAAGATTTGTAAATTTGTATTGCTACGTCTTTTATAACGCGTACAGTAAATAGGTAGAATAATTCTTCTAGTGATTCGTCAAGTCTTGAAGACAAGATAGTAGTAGTAGATAGTAGAAGACAAGACAATATGTCTTCAATTAATAGGCTTTTGTTAAGCTATGTACTTAGCACAGAGCATTTTACTATCTTCGGCTGCATCACCACTTACCATCAAGTGGGATAGTAGTCAAGCAGTGGCTTATGAACTTATAATAGAGAAAAAATTTCTGAAAAAAATTGTGGTGACGGTGTAAGCTAATCCATCATCCCCGCTTTGTTATAAAAGGGGTGTGGGAAATGCCTGAAAGATCTAATGACTTTCGTTAGATCAGTCGGTGTGCGGATAAATTACATCAGACGTAGCTAGACTGTTATTTCATTTAATGTTCAATACTCATTATTTAACATTTTTTATAGCAATAGGTAACAATCGAGCACACAGTCCACCTGATGGTAAGTACTTGCTGAGAACCATAGACATCCACATTTATCCATATTTATCTTCCATATTTATATATCATCCATATAGTATCATGCATATTTATCTTTCGAGTTTTTTAATAAATAAAGCATAGAGTAGTATGCTTTATTTATTAATAAATAAAGGAATATTTTGAAGACAAAATGAATGGTCTTTAGTACCTACAATAATTAATGTCCGATTTTTTTTTAACTTTATAGTGTTAAGTATTATGTAATTTCTAAACGTACGAATTATAATTGAAATTGTTATTTTATTAAAAATAAATCTTCATAGTGCGAGGTGATAGTGATAAGCAAATATTTGCATGCCTTTTTAGGCGAAACATAGTGTTACCTATCATACCTTTTCCACCAAGTTTGTAACTTTTTATCTATGTTTTACAAATAAATTATTTGATTTGATTTGATATCCTCAATTAAGAATCAAAATACCAATACGTTGTCACCATAGGGTTATAAAGGGTATCCGGTTATCTACACTTACCATACGAAACACAGCAGTACAGCGCCGCTATTTTACGCTGGTATTCTGTGAGAGCGTGGTCCTGCCCCGGTCGAGCCGACCTATTCGTTCTACAACTATAGTATAGCTGCAACGTGGCTCTACCACTGGATATAACAGTGAAATATGTCCACTTAAGTGTTTTCACACACAATTTCACAATTTTAAATATAAAAAATCCGCATTATAATATAAAGCTTAATTAAAAATTGTTTTGGGAAACATGGACAAGTTGGAGTAAAGGAATATCTTTTACTCGGTTATAGATACCTGCAGCTACTTTACAATTTATATGTTTGGTTTTAAATGAAGTTTGGATTTATTATTTTTTTATTTCTATTCTATTTTCTGAAAGGGTCCTAGGAAAGGAATTATCCACCGCGCTGCCCCACTGCGTGTTGGCGAACTTTGCATGTCTTCGAAATATTATTTTTCTTATTTCTCAGACATGCAGGTTTCCTCACAATGTTTTCCTTCACCACTGAGCACGTGGTAAATCAACACTTAAAATTGCAATTACAATATTATTGGTGCCGGCGGGGTTCGAACCCGGTTTGCTCGCACACTGTGAAAATTTTAGCAAGCGCTAACCATCTGAGCTACCACGGCTCCTCTCCTCTCGAGCTAGAGACTTTATTTTATTTATCGTCAGGCCTGTTGGTTTAGTGGTTAGTGACCCTGACTGCTATGCCGCAGGTCGTGGGTTCGATTCCCACCCAGGACAAATGTTTGTGTGGTGAGCACGATCATTTGTTCTGTGTCTGGGTGTAATTTATCTATAATATTTATGTATTTAGAAATATATAAGTATGTTTATCAGTTGTCTAGTACCCATAATACAAGCTCTGCTTAGCTTGGACTAGATGGCGTTGTGTGATATTTGTGGAATATTATTATTATTATATTATTATTGTTGGGGTATCTGTATAGTTTTCTCATCTGGTTGGTTTTTGTAAATATAAATTAAAATGAAAAGATAAATATACATAAATATCAATAAAATAAAATAAATACAAAAAATATACAAATAAATAAAGATCCAACCATATTAAACAAAAAATTGTCTCCTATCTTTCTCTCTATGTTTTGATCTCCTAAAACGAGTTTGAGTTGGTAAAATCAAGGCAAACTTAGGGTAGGGTTGTCAATTATTATTTTGATAATAAAACTAGTGAAATTCCGCGGTTTTATGTGCGCAAGCGTGAACGTAGTTAGAACATAATATAACCTTTATATTTTACATAAATATCTATATTTAATATTTTACTAAGTACCTATAAAATTAACAAGTTTATTGCATTTTTATTTGAGTAATTTTTTATGCAATTTCTTTATCTACATCTATTTTTAGGAACCTTTATTTAGTCTGAATCATACATCATATATTACTTACTTATACGTAGTTTTTTTTGCAGTTACAAATATCTTGTGAGGTTGAAAAAGGCAGTAATGAAAAAATAATAAGAATAATAATAATTGACGTCAGCCACTTCTTTTCATAAAAATTTCAGATCATGGTCCATTAGGTTGCAGCTTCACCGAACCACAACTTATAATAATAATAATAACAATAATAATATAATATTATTTTGTATTTATTTTATGTATATTTATCTTTTCATTTTAATTTATAATTTTTATATATTTAAATATTTATATAACCGAACCAGATGAGAAAATTATACTGCTCCAACGATTTTAGCGACGAACGCTTGGATTTATTTTTAGAAAATGTCCTTTTGTCCATGTTTTCAGGCAATAAAAAAAACTGCTACAATATAAGAAGGTAAATTTCGACAAATCATTAACGGTCGTTATAGCTCAGGTGGTATGTCGGTC